ATTAGGTTAGGTTAGGTTAGGCTAAATCTTTTGATATAGATTGCGATTAATCATTACTAATCAGGTTCAACTCAGTAGATTGAAAGAGATAGCTCTTTGTCTAAATGTTGTTATCAGTTGATCTGGATGACACTTTGCATCATAAGTTCAAGTTTGACATAGAATTGGTTAAAGTTTTTAAAAACCATAACTGATGTTAAGATTAGGTAGTAGGTGGATGTAGATTCCGATTAAACTGGTTACTAATTGGTTTCATCTGGCAAATTGTAAGAGTAAACCTTTTTGTCATAATGTTATAAATGTGCTTTGATGAGACCTGTTATTATTTGAAGTTTTGGTTTGAAGCAGAATTGTTTCTGTTTTGTCAATGTAGTTCCATTTTCAAAGACCAGATTTGCACGAATTAATTGCTTCAAAACTTATTTGTCAAGCAAATGTGAAAATTTAATTTGTAAAAAATGCAATTTAAAATTGTTCGGTTGTAGTTGCGCTCGCAATTATTACTTTTCAGAGGACAATTAATTCTCGATCCTCACCTGATAAACTGTATCAAAGTTAGCTTAAAATAAACGTTTATTGCCTGTGATGATGTGAGATTGATTCAGTTTGGGTTAGCAATTAAGTTGAACTTTGAAACAAAGTTATGGCAATTGGATCATTTTATTATCAAATTAGTTAAATGATTGCTCAAAAATTCAAATGAGCCTGACTTATTCAACTGATGCAAATGATTGAGTCACCTTGAAAAAAACGTTGTCTTATTCAAAACCAGATTTTTGGCTAAACTTTTATTTTTGCAACTTTCTTTCAATATTAATTTAACTTCTGATTAAGAAGCTGTTTGCCTGGAATTTAATTTCGTCTTCTATTCTCTGATCATCATATTAATATGCTAATTTTTCTATCACTTTGTCGAGTGTTCATCAACATCAGACCAAAAGATATCCAAATTACATCTCCACTCCTTTGGAGTAAAATTTGAATATCAAATGATGATGAGAGTGTTTACGCCGTTAACCAAGTTGTCCTCTTATTATCATAACATGATTATCACAAATTACACTTAATTAAAGCTTCTCTCGAGGTTTAATTTAATAATGGAAGAAGAAAAGTTTATCAAGTTCCCAATCTGACCAATAATTTTGTTCAATCAATGAACTTGTTCAATGATTACTTTGAACAAAACAAATGGCCAACAAAGCCAACTGATTACAGTGAATATTAAACATTTGCAACTCTCAATTGTTGTTACCTTGTTCAAGTTAACCATTAACTTAATCATTATCATTATTAACCATTAGTTGATAGTCATAAATTAGTTGATTATGGTGAAGTGAGGAAAGAGTGAACAAAAGCGTTTTAACCAAAAAATGAAAAAAAGCGTAAAAAGAATGAGTTTTGAAACGGGAAAAGACGGTAAAAAGATGTTTCTCTCAATGAGAGTTCTAATAATACAGTTACTAGTTGACCAGTGAAAGGGTAAAATTGAACATAATTAAAGACAAAAGGTTCGACTGGAAGCGCAATTTGCAAAATTGCTTGAAAAAGAAGGCGATTATTTGGAATCGTTTTGCAGCGGAAGTTGCCAGACACAAAAGTGACTGAACAGACTGAATGCGAAAAGATGATGAAAAGGTAAGAGGAAATAATGGCCAATTCAAAGGTAGTTTCAAAAATAAATAGTTGTGTTGGATTCATCATATGCAAAATAGAAACTAATGAGATTCTCTTCTGTCTTTTACCTTCTAGACTTTGGCCATCTTTTTCCCCATTTTATTTAAATCTTTTTTTGCTTCTTCTTCTGATCCAGCTTTTTGACTCTCACAGGCTGCTTTTGCCGTTCAAGGCACATCAAGTTAGTTAGGTCAAAATGAGGCCAACGTAATGATGGAGAGTTTTACAAACAATTTGCTGTTTCTTTTTTGTAACTTTGTCTATCCATTAAGTCGACCCTGCCACTTCTCATCATCTTCATCTTTCTTCTTCTTCTTTCATCACTAGAACGATTTGCCTGGCTGATTTAACGACCCAACCTTCAGATCCCATTGGTTATTATTATACTCAGAGTATTATTATTATCATCATCATTATCATTATTATTATTATTAAATATCGTCATTAAAATTGATATTTGGCTAGTCTTGAACCAGATTATCAATTGGGATTATTAAAATATTTTCATTCTTTCGCTGCGTTTCCTCAATTGAGACAAAAATCAATTTCATTTGTATTAACAACTCACCAATGCTTGGCTACAAACAAACATGGAAACCAATTCTTGAACAATTTTCAAAAGGAGTAAAGATAAAGGTTTTCGAGTTAAGAGTTGGCACTTTGTTTTATTATGTTTATTTGTTGTGTTATATAAGATTTGGAAAAATATTCACGTTTCATGAACATAGAGTAACATGTGATTGAAACATGGAAGTTAATCTTCGAAATTTAATCGATTTATTCGAATTAATAGATTCTAATCATTAATATAAAAAAATTTCATATTTTTTAATGCAAAAAATTCTGGTGGCATTGAGTTAAAACAAAATTATTGTAAATTGAAATACATTGTGTTAATATTCAAAGTGATTTATTTCGAGCAAGTTGTTCAATGAGCGAGATAACTTTATCTCGTGAATCAGATTTTTTCAGTTCTTCACTGACTCGAGCAACATTTGAATGAATCTCTTTGTTGTTGAGCACATCTTCAATGGCTTGCAGTAGCTTTTCACCACTGAATTCATGCAAGTTTAACCTCACACCTAAGCCCAGATCAGCTATTCGTTGTGCATTATCTAGTTGGTCACCGAATTGAGGAATGACTATTAAAGGTTTACCAACAGCTAGTCCTTCAATCAAAGAATTACTTCCTCCATGAGTTATGAATAAATCCACTTTGGGTAAAAGAGCAAGTTGATTGATAAATTTCTCTCCCCACATGTTATCATGGAGCTTGATTGAGTCACCATTACGTCCTGTTGAGACGATAAAACGATGGGGTAAGTTGGCCAATGGGTTTAATATCATGGTCATTAGTTCAGTTACAGATGAAGCCAGTGATCCCATTGAGACATAGATGAGCTTTCCTGGTTTATCTTTCAGTTTCTCTGGTATTTCAAAGTTCGGTGTTTCTGGTGCTCGAATGGATGAGTCAAGACAAACCCAGTTTTCTTTCGGTGAACCCAATTCATGGTAATCCAATGGACCAGGGAAAATGTAAATTCCTAGCTGCTTTGCATAAAGCTGTGGTTTATATTCAGCGTCAAACAATTGGAACAATTCCTTTGCTTTCACTATATCATTTTTTTCGGCCTCTTCCTTTAACTTTTGGTATTCAGACCAAAGTTCAGGTGGATCATGTACTGAATATCCAGAGCCTGCTGGCGGACCACTATACAGATCGAGCGGCGATGAAGATTTAATAGGAATCACTGGACATGAAGCTTTGACCATCCAAGGCATAGACAAAATATAATCAGCTAAACAGACATCAGGCTTTATCTTCTCAATGATGTTCAACATTGCACAGTTTTCACCTACAGCAGATTCAAATAAGAAAGCAGACGTCTCATTATCACCGGACCCAGGTTTCAGAGACTCCTTCAAAAGGTCCAAACTTGAAAGTCTACGAGTCTTCTCAAACTGTTGTGCAAATATTTCAGTAAGATTGGATGGCATTCCAGTCATCATGGGATAATTTTTATCATTGTATTCACACAATGAGATGTAATGAAATCCATTCTTTTCAATAGCTTCCTTGTATTCATCAAAATAGGCATAGTAAACTTGGTGACCGCGTTTACGAAGAAGTGAGCCGATTCCGATGCATGCATGCAAATGGCCAATCCTGAGAAAATAGAGGAAAAATTCAATAGACGAATAAACTAATCAAAAACTTAGCATAGACTTACCCAATCATTGAAGTTATCAAAACTTTTAAGGAACTTTTTTCTTCCATTTTCGTTTGATTTCATCCAAATACAACTGAATCAAACGAAAAATCAGGTTTATATAGCCATATGCCTGAAAACTAGGTGCTTGAAGATAAAGCAAAAAAATTACTAAGGAGGATGTCAAAATGAATAGGGAAAAGTGCCCAAACTCAGAACACTTTCAAACTAATTTTTCTTATGTATTTTTTTATGCTGACATCAATAATATAAATTATTTTTTGGTCAGAGTTACCGTTCGAGAGATATTCACGAAAAAAACAAAGGAATTTAAGGATAGAGGCACGTAAAAGATTCATGAATAAGAGTTAGAATTATGTTATCTAGATTTGTTTTTCATATAATTCAGTGTTCTTGATCATAGATTTGTAATAAAAAACTAGAAACAATGGTGCAAAATACCCAAACAGTTTAAAAGTTAGATGATTCGCATTTCGAAATTTGTTTCAACCATGTTCCAGTTAGGGACGCACAACGATATTCACATTTTAGACATAATCAGCTATGCTGATTTCATATCCAAAATAAAAAAGACAAAAAAATGGTGCAAAATAAGTCAAAGGTGAGAAAAACTATTTCGAGTTTGTTCGGGTCGATTTCTGTCCATGTTCTGGGTAGGGATGCATCATGATATTCATATTATAGACATAATCAGCTATGCTGATTTCATATTTAAAATAAAAATGACAAAAAAATGGTGCAAAATAAGTCAAAAAATAGTAGAGATGTTTCGAATTTTTGTTGTGGATGTTTAACTCATTTTGCACCACTTTTTTGTCATTTTTATTTTAAATATGGAATCAGCATAACTGATTATATCTAAAATGTGAAAATCATGGTGCGTCCCTACCTGGAACATGGACAGAACACGCGACTGCAAG